TACTGTTCCTCAAATTAAAAATGAGGCCTAATTCCCTTTTGCTTAAATCTGGGTTGTTCTTAGTGACTCGCTTTACCAACAGGATACAACTGAAATAAGTCAGGTGCCTTCCAATACAAGGTCTTAAGAAGCTTTCCAATTTCAGTCTAGGTCAATGATGGCAAAACTTTTATTGGAGACTGTGTGCCCAAACTGCAACCCAAAACCCACTTATTTATTACAAAGTGCCAACACTGCAATTAAACCTGAATACTGAAGTTTTAGTTTAGACAAAACAACTCGTACATTAACATCTTTTGTCTTAAAAGAAAAATACAACAACACACGTGGCATAGGTTCGCCACCACTAGTCTAGGTCTTCTTGAAATATTTGCATTTGGAGCCCCAATCTACCCCTTAAGAAATACTATCCTTCTGAAAAGATCATGTGGAGAGGTCCTGAGGCTGGAGAAAGGGGCTCAGCTGAGTCTAGCCCTCCAGCCAAGCCCCCACGGCACCAGCTATGTGAGAAGCCATCTTGGACCCTCTAGCTGAGCCCAGCTGCCAGCTGAATATCACTGAGTCACACAATTGAGTCCACATGGACAGAAAAATCACCAATTTCAGTTCTGCCTAGATTTCTGACTCACAAAATCAAGTGAAAAGATTGTTACTGGAAGTGACTAAGTTTTGAGGTGTTTGTTATGTAGCAACATTATATTATGTAACTAGAACAATGACTTGGGCTTTCAGGGATGAGTAAGACCAGTTTCAATCCTGAGAGTTCCAAGTCTCTTGGGAGAGACGGGCTCATGATCCACATTTTTTTCATAGGGGGCAGGTGGGGCATGCAACCCTAAAGGGATAGGGAAGCCTCCCTGAATGGCATGGTGTCTGTCTAGCCTCTGGCCCCATTGCTCCAGGATGTACAATCTACAAGAAATCTTTTTTTTTTCCTGCACACACTCACAGTACAAGAAGAGACCAAAGTGGCCAGGTCTATATTAGTTGACTCTCTTTTCCTGGCTATCATCAGTAGATCCAGGGGTGAGAAAGTCCTCAAGGTGGGCCATTCAAGTGTTCTCTCCTAGTAAATTGAAATTTGAAATGTAGACTCTCAGAGGCTGGACTCAAATCATGGTGACAACAGCCATCTAGAGGGGTCTGTCAACCTTGACACTGTGACATTTGGCTTTGCTCATTCTTTGCTGGGATGGAGAGTAGTCCTGTGAGCCACAGAATGTCTAGCAGCATCCCTGTCAACCACCAAGTAGATAACTCTAGACTTTGCCAAGTGTGCACCGAGGGGCAAAATCACCCCTGGTTGGGAACCATTTCTGTAGCTTGACAGACCCAACATTCATAAGCTGCCCTTTCCTTGTCTTTACTGAGATACGGTGGTGCAACTCTTGTATCTGTGAGGCATCCCAAAGCCTCTAGTAATCCAGAGACAGTTTCCATATCTCACAACCCTAAGACTCCTAATCCACATAATATGAAGCCTGAGAGGGCATCAGAGTGGCAAGAACCGTTTGAATGAGGCGTGAGGCATCATCACCCTAGACACCGTCCTGTGGCAGGAGCTGCATGTAGGAGGTGGGGTGCCCTGCAGGGCCACACAGACTAGCATGCTTTGCAGTCCATGCTCAAGTGTGTAGGCCAGGGCCATGTGGCTCTCGGAACCTTGGTCTGTGCTGTTCATGGGACCAGAAGCCTCCCACCCGCTTCCATTGTCTCAGAACGGAGGGAAATTCTTTAATGGCTAAACCTTGCTGTTTTAAAGAATGATATTCCACTGAGATTTCTCCTTGTCGAAGGATCAGTTGCTCCTAGATTTTAACCCTGTCCGTGATACAGAGAGAGACTAAAGTACAGAACTGAAGACATTTTGTGAATGACACTAGCGCTCAGTATCGGGTGGAAGTGGAATCCTTGGGGCTTGGGTTAGTCAGGCAAGTGCGTGCCATTGTTCACCTGGCTACGTGTTCATGTGTTTGAGTGTGTTCATGAGGATCCTCTGGGTCACAGAGGAGAGGGATGAACTCAGCCTATTTCACGTCGCAGGGCCCATTGCAAGGTGCTTCAGCAGGACTGCAAACTGCACTCCACAGGGTGTGAGGCTTCTCCTCTCCCCCGGAGACTGGGCTCCTCTCAGCTTCTGTTTCCACTGCTCTTGCTGCCACCTGGTAATTGATTTTTTATATCAATTTTTTATATCACTATCAATCATATCTCAAGTTCAAGTTCTCCAGGAGACAGTCTGAGAGTTTAGACTCTGATACAGGACAAAGTGTTTGCTCTTAGCCAACCATCAACTGCTGCCTTGGGGGGCTGTGTCCATCCCTAGGTGAAGCAGATATGAAGCAAGTGGACGCTTTGTGGAGAAAGGATCTCCGAAGAGGCTTGGAGGAAGCAGGAACTCTGAGCTGCCCCAGAAAGGGACATGTCCCTGGCAGGCAGTATTAGAAGGCTGGGGTTAGGGCTGAGCTCTGCTATTGCTCCCCTTCTATACAGACTGCAGGCTGTGAAGTCCCAGTTTTCAACCAAGTGGACTGAATTCAGTAGCCCTTGACTGGGTGCACCAGGGGAGGTCACTTCTGAGGAGTTAGCATCCAGGAATAGATTCCCTGGGGAAACTTCACAGGCCGCTTAAACCTCAAGAAAACCACTTGTTAGGAGCTTGGGGAGCTGTTAATTGCTGGGTCCAGCCAAGACACCATGTTGCTGTGCCAGCCTGCTGAAAGAGAATGAAATCACTAGAAGAAGTTCCAGCTCCAGCTATGTCGGCCTGGGTTCCTGCTTTCTCTTGCTCTACTCTTCCCAGACCCTCAGGCTCCCCTGCTGCTCTGCTACCCAGAGCCCCCCACTGGGGGTCTGCAAACAGAACTGCTCCCCTAGGAACCCATTGCCACTGCAATCATATTCTCAGGAAAAACACGCAGTAATACAGAACCTGGAAAAGGCAGTTTCTCAGCAGCATAAATGTATTCATCTCAAAGTTATGTTTACAAAGGGATAAAGATTAACATAGAGCTATGACCCCTTACAAAGGAGTAAAAGTTTAAGAAATTCATCTAATCTTGGACGAATTGGAAATTTTGGTTGGCATAGTGACATTCAGTCCTCTGTTTCCTGATCCTAAACTGGAGCAAGCTAATTGCAGACTTCAGGACAGTGCAGTGGGGCAGGAGGGGAAGCCGGAGGTTGTGTGCTGATCTTTGCTCCAGTGCTGACGAGTCAGCTCCTCTGAGCTTGTGTCTTTTCTAACAGGAACATCCCAAGGTAAATTATCTGAGTGCAGAGGGTCTTAGGCCCTTTTAAGGAGACATGGCATATGAAACCACTTGGTGTTGGATGAGGGATTCTCCCATAGTGTGGGTTAAAATGGGCACCCGTTGGGGTGGAGCTGGGGTTGTCTCCCTGCCCAGGGCCACCAGGGAGCAGCACCAAATGTACACCCTGGCAACCCCGTTCTCTCTTGGGCTTTGAATAAGGAGAGTAACACAGCAAGGAAGAGGTTGTTCAGGGTAGCAGCTGCCGAGCTGCCAATGTAGTGCCCAGATGGGGAGTGGTGGGTGATGGCAACTGTGATGTCTCAATCAAATTTTTCCTGTGGCATGGAACACCACCATGTTAACTCTGTTAACTTCCATAGTCTTGCCTCTTTTCTCTGGTCCTTGTACAATTTTGTGAGCAAGCCAATATTTTCAGTAAGGATTTGGTGTTTTTCCCTTCACTTGGCCAGCATTGGTTCCTGTCATCTAAAACCAGGAAGCTTGACTGGCACCTTGGTGAACTAATTAACCCACCATTGGCTCCTTATGACTGAAACCATTTTGAGGTCGTACTTAACCCTGCGGTGTTTACGGTTTCAAGGAGAAGGTTGGTGTCAGCGATGCCTCACCTGAGGCTGCTGTTGAGTTCTCCTCAGTTGGTGGTGTTGCAGGTGCAAGCTTGTTAGCAATCGATGTCTGCCAAGAGGAGTCGACAGAGTGGCAGTGCCCCTCCATGTGGATGTTCTCTATCCCTACACTCAGAGGGGAACCTCACAGAGGAGAGAGAGGTCTTGCGCTGATTGTGGTAGATGGAATCCTAAACCCCTTCCATGTTCCTGCTGTGGTGGAAGCAGCTAAGCTTCCTTTGCCATTGTCCTCAGGCAGCACAGACTCTGACAAACTAAAGACAAAGCCAGTGCCCCTTGTGGGACCTGCCAGAGGCAGACTTGGTGTGCAGTTTGATGGTATGGCTGCAAAGCCAGGGAGTCAGAGTGCCTGTGAAGTCAGAGTGCCAAGGGTGCCAGAGCCCTCAGATGGCTCCCTCCCTCATGTCACAGATGGGAATGCTAAAGCTCAAGGAGGGCAGGCAGGGATGGCTCCGTGATAGGCAGTCTGGGGTTTCACACATCACTTGGCTCTTGGGCCAGTGTTCTCCCACATCCCCTCTGTCTCCTATCCAATGGGCTTCCTGCTGCTTTTAATCATTCCTGTATTTGAAATGTTCCACTGCTTATCATGGCAGTTGTAACAGATTACCAAAAACTTAGTGGCTTAGAGAAATACAAGCTTATCTTACAGTTCTAGAGGACAGAAGTCTGGCATGCACATGTACCAGGGCTAAGATCTGGGTGTCAGCAGGGCAGCATTTCCTTCTGGGGGTGCTGAGCACAGGAAAGCATTTCTTTGTCTTTTCTGCCTTTGTAACCCCTTTCCACACTACTCAGGCTTAAGGATCCCAAAAAGACATATAGGACCTTCTGAACCCACACTACAAATAAATTATCTAACAAATAAATTATCAATAGATTTACCAGGCCTCTGAAGTGAGGCTTCATTTGAAAGGCGTTGTGTTACAGCACAAAGGGGTCGCTATGCCACACAGCCCTCCTAGACCGACAGCGTAAGAGGAGTGCTGCTTGTAAAGCAGCTGCAGGCCTGTGATTCATCAGGTCTGCCCATTGATGCAAATTGACTTGAACTCAAGTCTTTGTTCAAATTTGACTCCTCTGCAGTGAGGGTGACATTTCCGAGTAGGCGTGGGGTGTGGCAGCAGTTAGTGGTTTGGGGGTACATCTGGAGATACTACACTGGGAGTCGAGGTGGGAGGACATTTTGCAAGCTGTCCCAGCCCCTCCTCGGGGGACCCTGAGGAAGGGAAGGGAGGAGGAGCAATGTGACAGCTGTTGGCCAACCACACCCTCCTCTCCTGCACAGGAAAAAGGTGAGTCAGGTGCTTCTCGCCTGGGGGGGCTTTCAGCGGGTGTCCCTCAGGCAGAAGGACATATTCTCACCCCAGGGATATCATGTGGCCAAGGGAGCTGCATGCTGGGAGGCACATCTTGGGCAGGTCAGTCCTGGGGTCCACCCATACTCATGGTGGACATAGAAGAGAGTTGTCAGAGGGGTGGTGTGCCAGTTAGCAGTGCATGACTCCTACAAGGGCTCACTCATGCCCTTGGCTTCTGCAGCTATCATGGTGTGGATGGTTTCCACGGCCCAGCTAGCAGATGCCTACTTTGCTCTGCTTGGTCTCCCCAGCTGAGCATTTCTCTTGTGTGCTCTTGGTCAGTGGCACCCGCGCCCCCCCAGCCTTCCCAGCCTCTCCCATCTTCCTTGCCCTTACACAGGTGTGTCCCCACTCCCATCTTCCAACCCCTATTCTCATTGCAATGTTCCCTCCTTGGGTCCCATGCTTGGTCCACTGGCAGTAAGCTACCTCCCCAACCTTCTAATAAGTCTGCCTCTGAGGTAGATTGGCCACCAGCTACGGAGCCCCCACTCTACACCAGAATGTACCTAACATCACTCTAAAAATTCTCCTGACAGCCCCAGGAGTGGGACAGTATTATCACTGCTCTGAGCTGCAACAAGTTAAGAGCTTGCTCGAGGGCACAGGCCCAAGGTAGAGGATTTGAACTTGGGTTTCCCATTCTAAGTCTAGTTTGGGCTCTGACTCCCATCCCCTGCCTTAGAGTAGCTAAGTGAGCTCATGAAAGAGCGCAGTGACTGGATCCTGGGGCTCTTCTGAATATCTGAGTTCATAAATAGGAGTCCGTAAGTAGCCTGGCTCTTGCTCATTGCTCATAAAGCCAAGTGATCCTGAACTCAGCCTGATACTGAGCTTCTCTGAGAGCTCAGGGTCCCCTTTCTCTCAGTGGGGGACTAGGAGAGGGCTGGGAAGAAAGCTTACTTCCAAAAGAAGTTAAGCAGAAGAACTGGGGAGTCTTAACCCTGGGCCTAGCCCGTGATCCTCAGTCAACACTGATCAGAGCTCTCAGTCTGAGCTGTGGGGGAGAGGGGTTGGAGGTGAGGTGGGGCTGCCCTCTCCTGTGCCCCCCAGGGGTGCCGTGTGCCCTACTCAAGGCAGCTCGCCCTGCTGCCAACAACAGCTGACCATGGGCTGCCTTGTTTGGCTGCTCGCATTTGGTTTTCAGTTCCTCCCACTCCCTCAAGGACCTTGCATGTTTTCTTCTCTCTTGGTGCTAGACCTGTGAGGAATTGCTTAATAAATAATAGAGATGGATGGACAGACTGACGGATGGATGGAATAGAAGTATGGGGAAGAGCTTCTAGTTACAGGCCTGGAGTGAGACGTTCTGAACTGTGTTAACACTTGGTTTTTCTACTCAAGCAGCCGTGTGTTTCCCACTGAGTGGAGCCACTGTGCCCAAGTAGGCCAGACCCAGGGCAATGGGCCTCAAACAGTTGCAGAGGCCTGGGGTGTTAAGTGCCGCTGGAGCCCCGCCCAGGAGAGACTTCCTGCCCAGAGCGCAGGGCTGCTCTCTAATGGACACTGACTGAATGGAGCGGTGTTTACAGTGGAGGCTCGGCAGCCATTGATCTCGAATTGAGCGAGCATTCTGCCAAGGAGAGCTACCAGGGCGCTGGGACAAAGAGCCCGATGTGTGGAGAAGTTCACACCCCCCTCACCCCTCCCCCTTGTCCCACACATCCACTGTGTGTGTACTTAAAAAAAAAAATAAACAAGCAGCTAATGAATTAGTGTAGGGCCAGAAGAGGAAGCAGGTCCAACTTGGTCCCTGCAGGAGGGAGATGGGCTGCCCAGGCCCTGAAGTGCATTCCCAGAGGGCCCCATCCAAATTCCCAGGCAGCCTCTCTGGGCCCTTGGCTCCGGGGCTTCCTGACTGACTGGAACTGCTTTGCATCTGCTTTTTTCTGGCAGTCCCACTTGGCAGGGGCCCCGGGCAGAGCAGAAACTTGGGTTCTCCTCTTGGCTGACGTAGACAGGGGCGAAGCACTGTGGGCTCTGGATCACTCATCTGGAAAATGAGGGACTTGGACAAGAACGGTGGTTTCCAAACCTTTTATTTTATTTTATGTTTTTGGTCTTAGAATCTGTTCTTGAAACAAAACCCATATGGGCCACCTCTCCCCCTAAAATACATTTTAAAAAGTTAATAAAAAGATGGGGTGAGGAGAGACACCCAGACTCCACCCTCTCCCCACCCCTGGCCCCTCTGCTCCTGCAGAGCACTCACCACTTCCGCATCTCACTCAGCTCCGCTTCCGGATCTTACTCAGCGCAGATTGGCACTGCTGCTCAGGAGAAAGAGCCTAATGCTTTTAGTAGTAGGAATTATGTGTGGTTGCTACTAGTAGAAATTGGACAAATCGGGGCTTAAGGTAATTGGGGGTTATTAGTTATTCATATATTTGGTAACAAGAAATTGAAAGGCCAGAACCACCACAGCATTATCTGGCCGAAGAACCCAAGGTTCCCTATCTCTTTCTGTTCCATCGTCCTGAGTGCAAGATAACCAATTTCACATTGGACTCACGGTCACTATGACTGCTGGAGCTCCAGCCATCACACCGCATTCTAAACAAGAAGGAGAAAAGCAGACAGACACAGGGCAGTTAATCTTTCAAAAGCTTTCTGGGAGTATTACCCATATCTCCAGTTACTACCTCTTTGGAAAGAATTGTGTCCTATGACAACTTTTTGTTGCAGGAGAAGGCAGAAAAAGTTTTCCCTATTACTTTTTCAATGAGAGCATATTGGCATCTAGCACAAAATCCAGGTTCTATAAATGATACTGATGAAAAGAGTGGGTATGGTATAGAACGCAGGAAAAGCCAGGCAACGCACTAACTCTAGTGAGCATTTGCCAAGTGCCATGCACCTTGCTAAGCCCTTTTCAAGCACTGTCTCACTTAATTTTCATAACTACTTGGGGAGACACTCATCATCGCTCCCATCTTACAGCTGAGGATGTCGGTGCCAGAGAACTGGAATAACTTAGCCAAAATATTACGGCAAATAAGTGATGTAGTCAGGATTTGAACCCAGACCTTCGGCTGCTGGTGCCCAGATGTCTAACTGCCATGTGAGACCTTGAGGGTGGAGACTGCAAGGCCACAGCCTCCCGGGCCTTTCCACGTGAGTGCAGCATCTTTCAAAGGCAGGGGGTGCAGAGGGCTACACAGAGCACTGGCACTGTCTTTGCGGCTCCACAGTTTCCCTCTCGTCCTCCTCCTGGTAATGACCATGGCTCAGAGGCGGGACTGGCCAGGGTGCATTTATCAGAGGTCGGTATTTGCAGACGTTTGCAGGCCCTTTGGGGTCGTGACTTGTGGGATGATTTATGAAGCATGGTTCAAAGAGCCCACCCTACACAGGCTGGTGTGGGACGGAAGGAGGGAGGCAGAGACGGAGCCAGGCTGTGGCAGCCGAGATCCAGAGAGGAAGGGGCCTGGGCGAGGAGAGGATGTTGCAGTCTTGCTCCTCTGTCAGCTCTGGGAAGGGGCTGCGGGGCTCCTGGCTCCATGCACTTAGCAGCCGAGAGGCAGCCCACACATGGAGCTGTCGGCGACGATCCTGCAAGTAGAGCGTGGTCAGAAAGCTCATCTTCCTTGGGAAGGAAGCGATGTCTTTGAGGCAGGGTGCGTCACCGTTTACAGACTGCTCTGAAGGCATCTTCTGGTCTCAGCCATCACACAATTCTCTTCATTCAGGGCTGGAGATTTAGCTCAGTGGCACCGCATCTGCCTTGCAAGTGCAGGGTCCTGAGTTCAATCCCCAGTACCAAAACAAAACCAAATTCTCCCCATTTGGGCGATGAGAAAACCGAGGGAAAGCTGGGCCTCCTGACTTCAGGGCCGGTGATGGGGCACAGGCCCTACCCACCGCAGACCCAGGGATGGGCACAGCAGAGATGGCAATGCGAGCTCCATTCTTGTTTTCAAGAGCAGCAGCTTCATGCAAAGCGGGAGCTGCCCCTTGAAAGACGCACAGTCGGTCTGATCGCACCGCTGAGTCCCAGGATGTGGCCCTGAGTGGTCAGGGTGTCTCCTGAGGGACATTCGCTGCAGTGTCTGCCTGTTCCTCGGGAGGGGCACTCAACACTCAAGCCGCAGAGTGGCACAGACCAAGCCTCAAGAATCAGCAAGGAATCTGACAGTTACTGGCCTGGGATGTTATTTTATTTTAATTTTTAATTTTTTTTTTTGGTACCTGGGGATCGAACTCGGGTCCTTGCACTTGCGCACCAGGCAGCGAAACCACTGAGCTAAATCCCCGGCCCCATTTTATTTTATTGAAAGAGGGTCTCGCTGTGTAGTTCAGGCTGTCCTCACCCTGTTTTGTAATTGAAGCGCTCTGTATCTATTTGTGAGAATTTACTGAGCATTGGTATTTGCATACATTTCATTAAAGTATAATTAATACACAGAAAGAGGCTTTAAAAAAAGAAGTGGCATCTTCAATCATTTAAGGTCTTTGTTTAACTAAGGTCGTGATGTGGCACATATTACAGGTGTCTCCCAGTTTCACCCTCCTTTTCCTCCTTAGATGGTGATTCCTGATTACAGGATCAGTTGGAATAAAAACTACACTTTTTGGGGCTGGGATTTAGCTCAGTAGTTCCGCCACCTGCCTCACAAGTGCAAGGACCCAAGATCTATCCCCAGTACCAAAAACAAAACAAAACAAAAAAAATAACACCATCTGCTTGTATAGTGGTGCATAGTTTAAAAAATATTAAAAAACAAAACAAAACAAAAAAACCCCTACACTTTCTGGCTTCTCTTGCAACAGGGTGTGGCCTTGTGACTAAGTTCTGGCCAGTGAGACCGAAGGGAATCATAATGTGCAACTTTCAGGAAGTCACCTTAAGGGAGGTAATGTGGCCTTTTTTTCCTTCTCTTCTCTTTCTTGCTGGCTTGAAAGTAGATGAGATGGCTGGAACGTGGCAGCTATCT